AGTGTGACTGTTGATCAATAACAACATTCAGCTCTGCAGGAAATGCATCATTGGAATGAGCAAGGCAGGTTTCTGAAACTGATGCCTGAATGTCTTTAATGTTTTGCCCATCATCTTCATGAACATTATTTGAAGTCACCAAAAGTGAATCAAGGCTAACATAAGAAGAATTATCTATTGTCTCTTTCCCATCAGATTCAAGGCAAGTGAGCTCATCATCATTTGTAAAATTTAAAAGAGAATTTGAGATATCTGCAAGATCAGTTTCAGAGAGAGCATTCAGACTACTTAGTTCTCCATTATGTCCGCACTGCAAGACTACTTCCTGATGGGAGTCATACTCAGATGGATTTATTTTCGCTCCACCCATATTATCAGGATTGATCATTTTCTCTTCCACACGCGGACCTACGTTTTCACCAATCATGTCACCTGGCATTATAGGTGCAGAAATGTCCTCAACTGATTTCCAGAGAGGCAAGCCAGGTTGTGGGGATGAATATCCCATACCATCTGGCATTGGACCAGAGGGCCCAATTATCTCAATACCTGAGCCATTCCCAAATTGGACTAAACTTTTCTCAAGAACATGAGTAGAATCTCCATGTTCATTAGTGTGTTCAAATGTGCCATGCATAATCATTTCTTTATCCGATAAGGATGAAACTGTACGAGAGAATTCAATCCTTGCACTTCTTTCCAAAGTAGGATCTTGGGTTGGATCACACAAGATATCAACCCCAATATCCTTAAGACCAAATTGGTTATGAATAACATCTCCAATCGCACTATCATTATGAGGTTGCAAACGCTCCTGAAAACCACTTCCATAACCAAGGCAGGCATTAGCGACTGATGAACCAAGAACATTAAGACCATGTAAATTAGAAGGTTGACTGCAAGTTTTCTTCCTCATAGCATGGTACAGACTACGTATGCTTTCGAATTTCCTTTTTGAAGGAACTTCCATATTTCTACTAGAACTTCCAGATGAACTTAACTTTGGTGTAATGCTAGAAGCTGAAAGTTCTAACTCAAACATTCGAGCAGAAGCTTCAGCTGAAATGTCAGGATCATAAAGAAGGGAATGCCATCGCTCTTGCAACTCTTGAACGGAAAACTTGCGGGAGAATTGAACTGCCCCTTTAGCAAGTGCTTCCAAAGAAGCACCAGCCTATAATTGGAATGGAAAACAATAACCCAAGAAATGAGTAAAATGTCAGAGCCATGTTCCAAATTCAGAAAATCCAATACCACGAACACCATTTTCTTTTTATAACTAAACAAATGTAGTTAGAAGCTAAAAACATGCACGGTGAACATAAGATTTCTAGATACCGAATCTAATTCTCGCAATTTTCCTGCTAATAGCTTAACATCATTAAAAAATAACATTAATAAACCAAAGGCATAAGCAGCCGCAGAATAATACATGGAAATGAACATGAAATGATATTAAGATTCTCTAGCGAAACGCAGAATTATAACAATAAAAATCAAATCGCAGTCAATTGTATCTAAAACGAAGCATATAAATTCAAACAGTACGAGGTATAGCGAGCCTAGAGCACAAAGAAGACAAACACCTAGGGTTTTCTTAGTCGCTAATCGAAATTCAAACAACTAAAAACAAAATTAATAACAATCCTATCGTAATTAAAGGACAATTCTGGAGAAATGAGGGCTTACTTCAACGGCGTTCTTCAACAACAGGTCATCTTCGGGGATCCATAAAGGAGGAGTTGCTGATAGTATTGTCATAAGCGTCTCAAAATCGTTGATCGGACGACTAAAACACTTAAAACAAAGAGATGTTTACCGACTAAAAACAGCAAGAACCAAGCGAAGGAGATTAAACGAGAAAAAACCGCAGCAGAACTGCAACATCTAAGGACTGTAACAGATAGGGCTGAAAGGCTACTTACTTAAACATCAGACGAGCACACAAGTCTTGAAATCATCTGGATAGACCATTAAACTCCAAAGGCACCAAGCGAGCAGCAAAATCGCAGCAGCACTGGAAGCAGAGCTGAAGAAGACAGAGGGACCACACCCATTTCTGAATTACAATATATATATATATATATATATATTAATTTATTGAAAATCTTCATTAAAAAAGAAAATAAAAATGAGGCTTCGGACCAGCGTCACAAACCTTGGCCCAATAAAATCATGAATAGTTTATTTCAACATCTTGGGCACCATATGGATCCCACAGGACACTCTCTTAAGGAAACTCAATCAACATTTGATGGCAAAATGTTTATTTCAACATCTTTTCAAATTCTTCTGATGAACATTTTCAATACCACCATATTTAGTTGATCCACTCTGAATTTATTGCCAATAATATCATCACAGGATACTTAAACATTCATTTATCATCATGACAAGTTTTATAATTTGTTCAGTAATTGTATAAATAATAACTTGAGATTTAAATTTTAGATAAACAAATCTTTACTTAACTTCTTGATTTTCCATTTTATAAAATTTCACCATTTTCAAAGAATTTAACCTGAGTTTGAATTTTAATTTCATTTTATTAAAAAAAAAAAAAAGAATGGCACTGAAGATGATAGAAATCTAAGTTTGCTTCTAATATTTAGTTCAATTTATAAAATTATTTTGAATAAGTTAAATATAAAATTATATAAACTTTACATAAACATCACAAATGAAATTTAAACTACTAAATTTATGTACAAAATACAGATTACTCCGAGATTATTCAATATTATAAATAATCTAGTATATATGCATTTAGAATAGTCCTATATATATTAAAATAATGAACTAGAGCAATTCAAAGGTAATGAAAGTTCTAGCTATTACATTCTAGCCAATTAATATTGTCATCAAACAAACATATATAAGATATATAAATATTACAATATTGAAATACAATCCAACCTTAAATCCTTAATTATTATATATATTTTCCGATAGTAATCGCAGTTAACATATTCATTTCATATAATCTCATATATTAATTGATTATTTAATAACTTCCTTAATCGAAACTACAAACTTTAAGTTCATTCAAGCAAGACGAAGATCACTGCAATCAAATCTTCCGAGATAAAGATTATTAGGATGGTGGTTGTGGTGAAGGCGAAATGCTTGAAGGTTGGAAGCTTCATTAGCAAGTGCAATTGCAGATTCGTAATCTCTTTCATTCTCAACTAAACCGTAATGTGGATCATTATGACATCCTGTATCCTTTATATATATTAAAAAAAATAGAATCATATATGTATGTTGATATAATTTTAAATTAAATATAGTAATTACTATTTGATGAATTCTTACGAATTTAAGCAAGAGGTTTCCATTTTGTTCCTCCAAATTCCGGACCTATAATTTTAAAGAGGAATTAAAAAAGAGATCACCAATTATAATATATATGGCATTATAGGAATATATATAAAAAAAATATTACATATTCCAAAAATAATGTATATAAGTAAACATAGTTTGTAAACGCAAACTTTATTGTGTGATTAAGTATACACTAACCTTCTTCTTGTAGGTATCTGTCAGTGTTTTGATTGTATGAAACTGTAAACAAAATAATTAACACATTAATTTGGGATCGTACATAATTAATTATTACTAATTTTATTTAAACCAATATCTAATTAATTAAAGAATACTTTCAATTGTATGCATTTATGCAAATACATTTATTTATTGTAGTTATTTAAAATCTTCAAAAAATTAATTTTTAATTAAAAAAAAAAATCTCTACTTATAATACTATTCATAATTATTAGATTCACTAATACGAAAAATACAAGAAAATTTCATAATTAAAACCCTTCATGTAGATCTATAAAACATGCAATTAAAAATACTTAATCCTTCTTTTTGCCGGAAACCTATAAATTAATAATCCAATTAATTAAAGTAATTTAATTAATTAAGAATTAATTAAAATCAAACCTTTCGCTCGCGTATGACCTCCAAAGCCGAGGCCATGTTTTGCTCAAGACCGCGCAGCTCTTCCACGCTCATATCGTGCAAATCTTCACCATTTCTTCGCCTTAAAAAGCACAAAAATATATATATACTTCTAACTTAAAAGTACATGATATTCAAAGCAGATTCTAAATTTTCATAGTTAATCTGATAGTAAATTTATTATATATTTATAGATATTATATATAACAACCTTTTGTAATATGTTTCTTCCTTTGCTTTAAATAAATCTAAATTTGAATTAATGTAAACTAATAAAAAATCAATAAGTATTATCAATTACCCAAAAAAAATTTAAGTAATTTTTCAATTAATTACCTAATCTCTCTCCTTAGCTTGCTGTTGATATCTCTCAGTTTCTTCAAGTTGTCTTGCATTTTCTGCCAAAGCCACCAAATTTAACCCCCCGAAGAAAACCTAATCTAAAAAGTAATTAAAAAAATTAACATAAAAGTAAAACCTGGTAATGGGTACTCCACAGATCAACTCCTAAAGTACTTTGGTATTGATCTATCATCTTCTTCGTCCTAACGTCGAAGAAAATCATCAGAAACTTCCATTTAGCTAGCTAGGGTTATATATAGACAGTACTACATATATATACAGAGAGAGAGAGAGAGAGGAAGAGAGAGGAGTAATATATAAATACGTGGTGGTGGGGCTGATGAATTCGTGGAGCTTGCCGGTATTAGATATCATGATGAGAGAAACCTTGGCATCGCAGAGAACAGTGAGTTCTTGGGCTTTCTTGAAGATACCATTTCTGCGCTTGGAGTAAGTTACTTGCCTGTTCGTAGGGTTCTCGATCCTCTTGATCTCAATCTTTCCACGACCCATTTTACTTCTCGTCTCCACGATTAATTAATTTGATCTCCTGTTACTTACCACTCGGTCAATTACCCGCACTGTTATACCCTAAAAAACATAAAGAAGAAGAAGAAGAAGAAGAAGAAGAAGAAAATAATTGAGAGGAGAGAGAAAGAGAGCTTTTTCTGGAGGGTAAAAGAAAAAAAAATATATACAATGGAGAGTACTTCAAAGGTAATAAAGATTAAAACAGAAAAAGGAGATGGTTGTTTCTGTATTTGGAAAAGGCCGTGGAAAGTTGAATTGGCGTGTAACTAAGAATGCATATGTTCTTCCTTCCAAATAAAAGAATGCATGTGTTTTATACATATGTATGTATGTATGTATATGTTGGTAACGTGTTGTTGTGCTGGGAGAAGCTTTTCAACATGACAGCTCAGTGAGGATGGTTGATCGTAGATTTCTTGGAAATATGGTTTCCAGTGCAGAGGTCGATGGTAATAAATGAAAAATAAAGAAAAAGAAAAATTAATAAATTATGATTTTATACCTAAAATGTTTTTATTATAATTTTGTCCTCAACGTTTTTTATTGGATTAGTTAAAAATAATTAAAAAAATAAATTTAATTAATAATATTATTAGACGTATTATTACTATATTATGAATTAATTGTTTAATATTAATTTTTTTAAAGGATTTAAATATATTTTAATCATTTAAATTTTTTATTTATTAAAAATTAAAAGAATTACACGTTTAGAGCAAACAAAAAACATCAATGATTAAATTATGAAAAAAAATAATAATAATATCAGACATTAAATTTTAAGAAGTTATTTATTTTCTTAAACTATCGATTTTGATTAAATAACCGAAATTATTGACAATGATTTTTAAATTTGATTCATATTATTGGAATGATCTCACCGTTACAAACTTCTCATTTCTTTTATTAATTTCGTATCCCATTAATATAAAGATATTAATTAATTAATACTTAAAACGTTATTATTCATTAATTATTTGTAGTTAATGACACGAAAAGGGGCAGCAGCTTCTAAGCATTAGACAAAGAAAGAGACGAGTGAGAAAATTGGTTGGAGAGTTTTCAATGCGCATTCATTTTCGCGCATGGCCAAAAGCCTAAGACTGACCGGTTCGTTTCTTGCCATTCAACTGAGCTAATTCCTGTACGAGTTAACATCAGTCTTCGTCTCTCTTTAACTCAGTGCATAACTGTAGCACTATAATAGTGTAAACTAGGGTGTATTATCTCCATGGAAGCAATGAGTGGGATTGAAGAGAGCTTGGTTGAGCTGAGACAGACGTTTAAGAGCGGGAAAACCAGAGATCTTTCATGGCGGAAAGCTCAACTTAGAGCCATAATCGAGTTAATACACGACAACGAAGAGAAGATATTTGGAGTGCTGCGGCAAGATCTAGGAAAGCACTCCACTGAAGCTTACAGAGATGAGGTATAACATGTATAAGTGTCTTTGTGCTGCAATTTGAGCATTGACCATGGAAATTGATTAAATTCAGATTACGCAAATGGGACTCAATTAGGTTTTCTTGAGGACATTCTGATTGATCATGGTCAAGCGGATTTTCATTTTTTGGGAAATGAGAATTTAAATTTATCGTGAGTTTTTTACTTGGGCGATCAATTGCTGTAACTATACAGGTTGGAGTGGTGGAGAGATCAGCGAATAATGCTTTGAACTGTGTGGAGAAATGGATGGCGCCAAAAAAAGTGAGTTACTCAAATCTAAGCGGGAAACCGCCATTATTGAGTGATGAAATAGTGTACTTGAGTTTTTGGGGGTACTGCTCTGTTGTTCATGGTGGTTGCTTAATTTGGCTTTTCGAACAGAATAATCTACCATTATTGTTCTTCCCTGCAAAAGGAGGAGTTATCCCTGAACCTTTTGGAACAGTTCTGATAATATCAAGCTGGAATTTCCCCTTCTGTAAGTTCACTCCATTCTTGAATCTGGGAATTTTTCTTGTTGACTCGAATATGAAATATAGATCATATTTGGTATTTGGTTAGTCATAATTCTGTTTATAACTGCTGGCCTATGAGCCTTAGGTTTTCGAAAAGATAAATGAAAAATGCCTGGTTTCATAGTTTTTTACTTTAAAAATTTACTCATAGATTCTAATTGATCGATAGTGATTACTAAAATAATGTTTTTAATTAGAGAATCACAAAATAAAAAAAAATCCAGTTACATTTTTTAAAAAAATAATCAAAACAACCTAAGATTAGCTTGAGTGAAAAGAAGAGTCACACCAAACATCCCCCTAAAATTATTTTATCATACATTTGGTATCATGGAGTAAGTTTTTAGGGTAGATACTGTTAGACAAGCCTACTAATTATACTTTTTGGATACAGCTCTTTCCATGGATCCATTGATAGGAGCAATCTCTGCTGGAAACACTGTGGTCTTGAAACCTTCAGAGCTAGCCCCAGCGTGTTCTTCTTTCCTTGCCCACATCATCCCTCTTTATTTGGATCCCAAAGCCATCAAGGTCCTTGAAGGTGGAAGTGAAGTTGCTGAACAACTATTGCAGCAGAAATGGGACAAGATATTCTTCACCGGTATTGCTCTCCTTCCTTTTGATATACTTTCGCATGTCAAAGTCTCGAGCTGAATGCAAAGATCAAGCACATACCTGATATATATTATTCAAACCTTTTTGCCAATCGATTCATATATTAATACTAACTTTGTTTTGATGTTTTAAATTTCTTGAGTGCTGATGGTCGTATTGTTGTCAGGGAGTGCTAGAGTGGGGCGGATTGTTATGACTGCAGCTGCCAAGCATTTAACGCCTGTTACGTTAGAGCATGGTGGAAAATGCCCAGCTATCCTTGATAAACTCTCTGCTCCTTGGGAGAAGAAGGTTGTTTTCAACTCAATTAACTGTATTCTTAACGAGGATAAGATTTAACAAACTCCATAATACTTTTGTTTTGTTACTATTACAACATCAAGGTGGCTGTGAAGAGAATAGTAGGAGCCAAGTGGGGGCTATGCAATGGGCAAGCATGCATAGGAGTTGACTATGTGGTTGTGGAACATGAAATTGCCCACTCTGTGGTATATACAAATAACTTCTTTACCAATGCTCTTTCAAATTTTCTTTTTTATTCTTTGAATCTCCAATGCTTGCTGCTGTTACTTATTAAGTTGTCTCGGTCTATAGATCCAGTGTATTCTCCAAAATTTATCTGGCCTAATGCACGAAAATCCCATTTAGTGCTTGGAAAATTCTGGTCTCTTTCAGATTGAATTGATGAAGAAAATGATAAAGGAAATCTTTGGTGAAAGTCCAAAAGATTCGAATTGCCTCTCCCGAATCATCAACAAAAGCCACTTTGAGAGGTTGCGCAACCTTATCAAAGATCCCCGCGTTGCAGCTTCCATTGTTCATGGTGGTTCAATGGATGAAGAAAAATTGTAACTTCTCAGCATCTTTTCTGAATCTATGCTTTATATGTTGTTTCTAGCAGCGTCCAATGCATACATAAATACTAAGTGATCTTTAGCTCAGTGTTTGTCTTGGGGGATTTCCTGATCTTCATTTTGTGATTTTTCCAGGATCATTGAGCCAACAATCCTGTTAGACCCTCCACTTGATTCCAAGATGATGAATGAAGAAATCTTTGGTCCATTTCTTCCTATAATCAGAGTGAGAAACAAGCATGCTCTTTCATTTCAGAAATGTTTATCTAAGTACTCACCCTTTTCCCCTTTTTTCTTCCATGTTTCAGCTACAGAACATTCAAGAAAGCATTGAATTCATCAACTCCAAGTCGAAGCCCCTTGCAATCTATGCCTTCACCAAAGATGAAGCATTCAAGAAGCAGATTTTATCAGAAACATCCTCAGGAAGCGTGGCATTCAATGATGTTGTTGTCCAAGTACGTAGCAATATTTGTGTTTTCTTTTCATATGTTTATCTGACAAATGCAAGAAGTACTTTCAAAACAAAAATGAGTTTGAGGATTCTATCAATATCCATTTATTTTAAATTATATTTTATATTTTATATTTTATATTTTATTCGATAAAAATCATAGGACTTGTCAACTCATTTGCGATTGTAGAACAACTTATAGAATTATGCAAAAAAATAGAGTAGAGAACGAAAACAAATGAATGATCTAAGTTTTTTCATTTGTTTATACCCGCAGTTTTTATGTGAGGCACTTCCATTTGGAGGTGTAGGGCAGAGTGGCATGGGACGGTACCATGGGAAGTACTCTTTTGATACTTTCAGCCATGAAAAGGCAGTTATGCATGGACGTTTCTTCCCTGAAATTGAGCCAAGGTATCCTCCATGGAACAACTTCAAACTGGTATTCATCAGATTGGCTTACATGTCTCAGTACTTCAAATTGTTGTTGCTTCTACTTGGGTTGAAGAAGTAGCCCATTTTCATTAGCTCGTGCAATAAAGGTTCTTATAAATAAATTGTTGTAAACGTTGGTGGTCATGATAAAATTATAATAAAGTTTATCGAACATGACTATGATTAATAAAAAATTATTAAATGTTCTAAGAGTTATAATTATTTCTTGTTGAAGCAGCTAAGGAGATTATTTTTGTGACTTGTTATGATAAATTTAGGTTTACTTGGTTAATTATTTAGATTTTTTAGATAAAGTTTATCTTAATTATTTTTATTTGATCACTATTCACTTATTAGTTTAATTATTGGTACATTCTTACCAATAGCACGATGGTTTAATGATTAATATCTATATTTTACTAAAAAGTTATGAGTTCGGATTTTATTGAAAATATAAAATTTATTATTTTAAAATATATTATGAGCTGATAATGATAAATTTATAATATTTAATTTAGTAGAATTATAGACTTCGTTTACTAATGTGATGGTGGGATTACGATAATTAAATTAGGTCAAATTTTATAAATTTATTACGTTATGTTTTTTCAGTTCAGTTAGTCACAATTGTTTAAAAATTTAACTTATTTTTGTTTTCTTAAAAAGATAGCTTATATATTTTTTTATTTTTTATTTTTATTAAAAATTACTAATTCAAGTTAAATTATATTTTTAAGTGTATTCTCATTTAGATGTTATTTGAATAGTGTTGTAATTCGCGGATGTAGATTATCTACTTAATGAATTTATATATCATCTA